TATTTATTTATTTATTTATTATTTTTACATTTATTTGCCACCCATTTTGTTGTAGGGCCATGCTAGGCACCTGGTGAATGGTGAGGCATCTTGGGCCTGGGCCACGTCCGGTAACCTTCCCCTTCCCCAAGAACTTTTTGTGAGAATAAACCACAAAAGGCACGAATTGAGGATCAAAGGATTTCTTTCAATATGACTTCTCAGCCTTCCCTTCTTCTTGCATTCGGACTCTTTGCAGTTCCCTGGCGGAGGGCGGGGGAGGAGGTGCGAATGCTCTCAGAGAGGTAAAATCTCTTTTGGCCGAGCCCCAGAAATTGAATGGCAAGATCAGTGAAGAGCTGCACCAAAAAATATGTACATCTATCCAGGCTCTGTGAAGGCAACAGACTCACTCTTCATTCCCTGCAAAGGGCAAGGAAGTGGAGAAGCTGTTCAGAGCATTGCCACAGTCTACATCTAAGAGAATATTGATTCTTTTCTCTCTCTTTACCTTGTCTTCTTTCCCCTCCCCCCTAACTACTTCAGTGTGCAATTCACCCATACGTTATTTTCCCCAGCATTGTTCCTTATTTTATGTCGGTCACCAAAATCGAGCTCCTAATAGAAATAACAAACAGCACTTATATACCACTTCACAGAGCTTTAGAGCCCTTTCTAAGCGGTTTACAGAGTCAGCCTATTGTCCCCAAACAATCTGAGTCCTCATTTTACCCACCTCGGAAGGATGGAAAGCTGAGTCAACCTTGAGCCGGTCAGGATCGAAGTTAACCATATTTGTACGCTTGAGCAATCCATTAGCCCTGCAGTGTCCTCTGACTTCTGGAGCTGAACAGAAACTGTTATTTAAAAAAAATACAGAATAAGGAAGTTGGAAGGGACCTTGGAGGTCTTCTAGTCCAACCCCCCCACCACCTGCCCAAGCAGGAGACCCTATACCATTCTGGACTGTCCAATCTCTTCTTGAAAACCTCCAGTGATGGAGCATCCACCACTTCTGTTTCCACTAATTAATTGAGGGATCCAATTTTGACATGGAAGTAGCCAAAACAACTCCTGCATCCAGCAAATGTGCCAGAATTATAAACTGCAGTTCATAGAGGCAATAAATCCTCCTCGGTCTTAATTCCGATACAAAGGGTCAACCAATGTTCCTTCTTCTAATAAATAACTATTTAAAGCCATCACTTTAGCTTGGGGACATCATCGGGCAGTTGCTTTAAAATAAATAAGTAATTGCATCACCTTTGAATCTCAAATCCTCTGTTTTTCTAGTGCACAAATTTTCATTCACGTCAAATCCAGAAACATTGATAATCCTGCATCTGCCAATGAAAATGGCTTTTTCTTTAATTGCTATATGAACTCCTTCCTTCTTTTGTCTGCATTCCTCTTCCTTTTCCCTTCATTTCCTGGGCTGCGGTTGTATAATATTTTGAACATTTTTCTGTTCATAAATACAGAAAATTCCCCCCTCTCTTTCTTGTGACCTTCGCATTTCATCTCAGTATGGATAATTCCTGCTAAGCTTCCCCCCCCCCCCCCCCCCAAAAATCTTACAACTCATTAGCCTGGGAAATGAGCTTGCAGGGAAATTTCAAAAGAAAAGCTTCAACATTTCTGCAGATACTCCCCTAAATTCAATTTCTCCCAAGACTGAGAGCTCAGCTTTAAAAGTTGGACCTGCAATGGACAAATTTTTGGAAAAGACAAAGAAAAGAAAGCAGGAAAAAAGGATGAAATTGTGTCATCTCTTTGCTGTCCTTCTAAAGCATGGCTATATCCCAACACATTCCCTTCATCAGAAATCAAATGCCCCCATCTTAAGGTAGGTAGCGAAAGGTTAATTAATAGGTAGCTCCACCCTTTTCTACTTCATGATTGTTCTGTTCTAGGCTTCTCCAAAAAGCACGAGGCAGAGTCCTGGTCCCGACAAAACCCCTTTTATTAAACGTGTGTCCACTTTTCCTGAAATCCTTCTCTAAATTGTAAACTGAAACTACCCACAGAATCTCTGCAACAAAGGTTGAAAGATGCTCAGCATCATGGATCACTGATAGACAGGAGGAAGACGTTGCCATTTCAGTAGAACAACCAACTCCTCTCTGTCCCACCAGTGGAAAAATATCAGCAACAAAAATCTGAAGCAGAATAAAGCAGGATTAATCAACTGAGCAGGGGGTTTCTTCGGCCCACCCTCTCTGGTTTTGCAGATTACATTGAGCCTGAGTTCAATGTGGAAAATCTGAATCTCTCATCTCCTGCTTAGCTTTGATTATTACATCCCTGAGAAAAACACAGCTAGGAAGGAATAAGGGAAGATTGTTCTCACCGAGGCTTCCCAAGAGCATGAAGCAAACGCCTTGTCCCGACAAAAATCCCTTTTATTAATTGACTGTGAATTCTGTCATTCACATCCAGCAAAGTCTTTAAGGGTGGATTTACAGTCACAGACCTTATCTGGCTTGGAGAGCTGCCTGGCCGATATCTGCAAAACTTGGCCAGGAGTCTTGGAGAGTCACAAACCAATTAAACAAACTAATTGTCTCCTGCAAACTCCACTCCCTTTCGCTCCTCTTTTTTTTCC